ATATATATGTGAGATAATACATCATGTTTTAGAAAGGACAAAGTATATGTTTTAGAATTTGAAACAGGTGTCATTTTTCAACTTCCAATGTTCTGTCTACATAGAGAATAATGTGTTCTGTTTTCTGGTAAGAACAAACACTCCTCTGGTTTTAAGGATATTGCAGCTATACCATTCCTGTCACCATCACGCAAAACAGAGGAAAGTTGACAACAGTGAGCACGCGCTCATCATGACTCATGAATTTTGAGATGCAGAGATGACATCATGTAGTATGATGCTTTGGGGGCCCTGCACATTTTCTCCTGCCACTATCATCACCATGAGGTTGACTCTAGGTACTCATGGTAAAGTAATGTCAACCAGAGATTACTGTCACACCAAGTGCCTAGTGAAGAACAGCGGCATTTTTACTTCACCTGCCCATCAGTAAAATAAATGTCCACTGGTATTGATAGGTGAGTGACAGTGGCTATACGGAGACATGATACAGGGATGTGCTTACCCATCTCAACCTCTTTGACATGTAGTCCTGATAGAATCTCCTCTGAAAGCAGGAGGACCAAAGAAGGAGGACCTGGTCTTTGGTGGGTCCTCCTGAGACCTGCCCTCCTGAGCAGATACAGAACCTTCCAGAGTTTCCTTCACTCCCACTCTACACCCACTGTCCCCTCCCCCAAAGTGTCTGCTGTTCTCACCTTTCTTCCATCCCACCCATGGCCTAAAGGACTGGGTCAGGGAGGAGACAAGTGGGAAGCTGGAACCTGGTACTGGAACAAAAGTGTTAGGGTGGGGGCTGACGGGAAGAGCCATTCTAGATCTTTAGCCCTTCCACCTCGAGCACTTGGAGGGCAAAAGCCAGTCCTCAGCACTAATAATTGGTCATAAATCACCCAACCATGCAGGGAAGATGTCACTCATTGAATCATAATTTTATATTTATACCCGTCAGACACATACTTGGGGAAATTTATTTGAGGCCATTATCACTCGCATCATAATTTATCCTGGTTCCTTCACTAGCAAAGTTCGAAAGGTAATTTGTGTTCATTGGAAGTAAATCATTGTACTGCATTTCCTGCCAAGGACACGCTCTCTATGAAATGCACAAAGTGTTCTTTCGCAGCGGAGCCCAAGGTC